CACATTACGAAGCTTGCGTTTCAGGAAGGTGGAGAGGATATAAGTGCACCACTTATTCTCGGCACTTTATTCTTCGTGTAGTTCCTGCGTCCAACACAACAAGCATGCTTGTCAGTGGTAACTGACGCGCATATCCAGCTGCGTTCGCACGCGCAAATATGTGTATAGTTTACTATCCAAAGCAAGTCCAGAGAATTTGCCTAGTCAGATAGCGAAGGGGTGGGGTTGAGCGCGGTCCCCCTGGCGTGAGTGTCAACCTAAAAGGTGGGGACTTAAGGTCAAATAAAATTGGGGTGGCTGGTTGATCGAATCACCATTTGACAACCATGACTTCTGCTCTTGTATTGCTTCGTGGTTGCGAGATCGACCCACTATCTCGACCGTACCAAATAGCAAATTGGTAGTTAGGCAGCACAGGGTGCGTCGTCATCTGTGAATGCCTGTCCACCCTTCTTCTCTACAGACAGATGGCTCTTGTCCGTAGTCTGTCGGTTTCTTCAAAACAGTCGAGTCGGGCTTGTGGGCAGCTCCACTACCGAGTCTAACAACGGCCTCCGAAACGCTTTATAGGCATGAGATACATCGCTATAATGTAGGGCAGTTGAATGCCTTCGTGCTGGCCCCTTATAATCGCCAACTCCGCTTTACGGCTCTAAAGAGTTTCACGAGGCAATACAATTCGGTGATGGCTGGTTAGTAGCCCTTGTTGCATCAGGAGTTCCGTCGGATTGGCCTCAATTCTGGCGGCGAGGAGGAGGAGGAGTCGGAGCAGCGTGGTCGGGAGGGGCTGCTCCGTCATAAAAAAACAGACTGACTGGTGGAATGGCGACTAAAAAGAAATGCTAAAAGGAAAAGTCATTCGACAATTCCCACATTCATAGTGAAACGCATGCATAAGACGCTCTGATTTATTTGGACTTTCACGTACTTGATACTGTTTCTTCCGACGATAAAACTACGGTCGTCGGCATAGCGCGCCTGTAATTTTGGATACATCCAGTTACCATGAGCTTGTATGATCTTAGATAGAATACCAGACGGGATTGCGGGCAACGTTAACGGTCCTCGGGCAACCACCTTCGGATAAACCCACAGCAAACTGCGTAGGCAGAAAGACAGTATCGGCAAGGACAAGGGAGACAGGAATGGCCATTGCTGACTTACTAGCCGTCATCAAGCAGTCATACCCAGCCGCAGTTGATGCAACAGTAGTTACTTCGGCAATCCTACCACTGCAGCGTTTGTGGTTATAGTGTAGAATACAGCGTTCGATTTTACAAAGCAAAACTCTGATATACACGTACTGCTCATAGCCACTAATCGTTTGACATTACCGTCTAGTAGCGTTCCACTCATCCTCAATATACGCTCACTCACTCACTAACTCACTCGTAGTAATCGTTTCCTGCATAACAACGAGCCTCCAAACGGTCTTACAAGGCAAATAAAGGTCCAGCCTGTGCACACGCACTTCAATACCGATCAACAAAGCAGTCTAGCCATCAGTAAAACCACGAACGTGTGTTGGGGTCCATCGTTGATTACGATTAGTGACTACCTAATCATCCATCCTAATCACCATAGTTGCCACGCTTCTGAGCCCGGCCGCAACGTTCGGCCGTCTATTCGAGCTCTCCACAAGGAAGTCGTCGCCTCGTCTCCTTC